AAAACAGGCACTTTGGCCAAGCCGTGCCCATAGCAAACCATGGGCTCGCTTAATAACTGCTGTTTAACAACAGCTGCAGCTGCTAGATGATTGCGGTGTTTGCTTAATGACAGCTGCAAAAAAAAAAAAAGAGGCCATCCTGACATATAACGGGCAGGTGCCATTATGGTCATATCTTGAGGACTACCCGCAAGAGAGTACGGAGGATGGCAGCAGAGCTATTGTGGGTTTTAGGGGAGAAGATTTACAGATTAGGAGTTGGAAGGGACCTTGTAGGTCATCTAGTCCAACCCCCCCCCCCGCCCAAGCAGAAGACCCTACTACACCGTTTCTGACAAAAGGCAGTGCAATCTCTTCTTGAAAGCCTCCAGTGATGAAGCTCCCACAACTTCCTAAATCAGGGGACTCTAACCTTGGCACGTTTAAGACTTGTGGACTTCAACTCCCAGAGTTCCTCAGCCAGCTGGCTAAGGAACTCTGGGAGTTGAAGTCTACAAGTCTTAAAGGTGCCAAGGTTAGAGACCCCTGTCCTAGATGCTAGACTAAAAGTGGGAAGACCCTGTTTTTAGTCCTGCCTCAACCACAGATGCTCATTGGCTGATTCTGTCCTGGTCCCTCCCTCTCAGCCCAAGAGCCAATCAGGTTTAGTGGAGAAGGGACTAGGCGTGGGGAGATCTGAGTTCTAGTTTTGCTCTGGCTCAAAAGATTATTTTCAGTGTAGGTCCTATTTTCAGGGAAACACGGCAGCTGCAGTGATTCACTTAACTGTGGCAAGGAAGGTCATAAAATGGGGCAAAATTCACTTAACAGATGCTTCACTTAGCAACAGAAATGTACAGGACTAACCTGTACAGATGTTTTTTTTTCTTTCTCTGTTTCTTTAGAAGAATTAGTAAATATATCACAGTAGCAGCCTAACACTGCACTAGAAGCCACATCCCTTTCTAGCCACATGCGACATATATATAAAAAAGGGGTGGGATTTTAATGTACAGATGTGGCTACCATTGTGATTTTTTTTTTTTACTTTTTCTACTGCTAGGAATTTCTGCTCGTTTTTATGCAGGTAAATCAGCATTTTCACCAGTTTGGGGGGAATTCTGGGAGTTGAAGTCCAAACATCTTAAAGCTGCGGTGGTTGAGAAATTCTGGTCCATAGGGCTGTAGGTTTAGGACCAAACCAACTTGAACAAAAAAGGAATTTTTCACCAAGTTAAACCCAAAGGCCCAGAAGGATCTTCCATGTTTCCCCGAAAATAAGACCGTGTCTTATGTTTTTTTTGCCACTCAAAAAAGCATCAGGTCTTATTTTCGGGGGATGTCATCCACTGACTAACCTCATTTGTGTGCGTCGCGCCCCGGCCTCCTTTTCGCTGTCAGAAGCCTTCAGGAACTTCTTCTGTGGCCGGCAAGCTCTGGATCGATCCAGAGCTTTGTTATCAGCGACAGAGGCCTTCAGGAAAGCCTTGCCAGCTTTACTGGCTACAGAAGAAATGGGCTGGCAAGTCGTGTGTTGGGGTGTGCGAGGTCTGGCTACAACTGTCCAAAGGTAAGTAGTAGGGCAGCTCCACATCCCCATCCTAGCTTAATTTTTACCTGTGCACTCTGGAGTGGGTGGGATCTTAATTAGGGCTTATTTTGGAAGGGCTTATATTGAGCACACGTGTAAAAATCAAGCTAGGACTTACTTTCAGGGTAGGTTGTATTTTCAGGAAAACAGGGTTACAATCTGAAGGCTCCTCAAGAGTCCTCTTGTTTATCCCTAGCAATATAGGATACCTTTGATTATCTCAAGTAATGACTTTCAGGTTCCTTTGAAGGTGATGATCCCATGCTAGAATAAGAATCTTGCGAGATCGACCCAGTGATTCGGGATCCTGTGCTCAAGAGCAAATTGTGAAGAGACTGAAACAGATCTACCTTGGAGAGCTTCCAAACAGGGTGAGGTTAATCCTCAGGGGCTATTAATCACTAAACCTTTGAATTATCAGGCACTGGAAGCCATAATCAAGGTACTTGTTCTTCATGCTTTGCTTGTGAACCTCCCAGTTGGATCTGAATGCTGGATGAGATGGCTTGGAGCGGCCCTGATCTCATCTTCTCATGACCAACAGGCTTGCTTCAATTTCCTCTTTAGGTTCAGATTTAATCCTGGCTGCTCAGCCTCAGCGCAGGCGCCTCACGGAAATACAATCCTGGTTTAATTTGCCAGAGTTTTAACAAGATTTCCTGAAATGACCTTAACCTCCAGAAATTGAGTGAAATTGAAGTTCACTCACTTTAAGATGAGTGAATTTTAATTCCCAGAATCCCCCAGCCAGCCATGCTGGCTGGGGAATTCTGGGAGTTGAAGTCCACAGGTCTTAAAGTGTCCCAGATTGAAAAACATCCATGTGCAAATTAGAAACATGCCTGGTAACAACTGCTGTTGTTGTCACCTCTCCCAAACATTCCCACCATCTTAAAACCTCCTTGAAAATCCTCCCAAACTCCCCGTGCAACCAATTCGGTTTTGCCTATAGAACGCCAAGATGCCGTTATGTGTCTTTTCCCCTCGGTACAAAACCACCCAGCACCCACAGAAAGACAGGTTAGTCACGAGGAGATTAAGGAATGGCTGTAATTAGAGGCACAGCAAAGTATTACAGATCTCATGTATTCACAGCCCCAAGGTTGCCAATTCTCCTTCCTAAGTCTGTCCGTCGTTCTTTTTTTTCCCCGCTCTTTTACGCTGATGTATAAATTTCCCTCTCAGGTGCATAAGCGCCTCTCCTTCCTTCCCTCCCTCCTCCCGCTTCCCACCCCCAATAAATAGCTGAGGATATCTGGATTTTAATTGGGGGGAGGGGGGTGGTGGCACTGATGCCCACGTATTAAAACTAATAGTGCAATTCTCGACATGTCTGCTCGGAAATCAGCCTCTCTGCGTTCCCAAGAGGTCTTCCTTCCAAAAAGCTGCACATCCAAATTGCAATCTAAAGCATGCAGCCGAGTTTTTGAAGTTTTTCCGTCTCTCTTTTTCTCTCTCCCTCTCTCTCTCTCTCTCCCACCCGTTCCACGTTGTGGTTTATTACTTTAATGAACGGTTGCGTTTCAAGTTCTCCTCTAATGCGAAGAGGATTGTCTTCACAGACACTTGGGGAAGAAGAGAAGGGCTCCAGGTGGAGAGAAACCGGCAGTGAGCGGAGGGGAATCCTGAGCACGCTTGGATGGGTGAACTTGGCCAGCCGTCAGATAATCCAGAGTGGATCCTTGGCGATGGGATTCTCCATTTTGGGGTGGGTGGGGGTGGGCTGGATCCAAAGGGGGAAGCGGATTTGGCAGAAGATGATAGAGAAATATTCTCAAGTGGGAGATGGGAGGCCTGTTGGTGGACTCCCTTCAGGATGCCGTCTCGTGGTCTTCGTCACAGGTAGTTCTCGACTTAGTTCATTTAGTGACCGTTCAAAGTTACAATGGCACCGAGAAAAGGGACCAATGACCCATTTTTCACACTTAACAACCATTGGCAGCGTCCCCGTGGTCACGTGATCAAAATTCAACCGGCTCCTGTTTATGACGGTTGCAGCAGCGTCCTGGGCTCCTAGGATCCCCTTTTGCGTCCTTCTGACTAGCAAAGTCAATGGGAGAAGCCGGATTCATTGAACAAACGGAGTCGTTGTCTTAACCACGGTGGCAAGGAAGGGTCGTAAAAAACAGAGCCAAACTCACAGGATAACCGTCTCGCTTAGCAACGGAAATGTTGGCCTCGACGGTGGGCCGTAAGTCGAAGGCTACCTGTACAGAGTCCTGTACAACATAAAAGGTGGGTGATTCTGAACGTTGGACTAAACCGTCCTTAGATGAGGCAGGTAAATTTTGCATACCTGCTGTATTCACACCTGCTCTTTCGGTCAGCTTCAGAATAGGTCTTTTTGTAAATGAGGGAGGAAACCCCCCCCCCCCAAATTTCCAAATCAGAGTGGCGGTTCAAGGTTGGGTTGATTTTTTTAAAGTCAGAGAATAGACTTGTTGTGTGTGGGGGGTTTGTGGGACTGCAATGTTGAAGCATCTCTTAACACAGGAGATATCCAGAAAGGCCCTTGGAAATGTTGACAAGAAGTTCAGCGTTTGGAGTCAACTTTTCAAACCGGATGGTTGAAAATTTTGAATTCTGCTTCAAATGCCCACTTCTTTGCACAAGAATGAAAGAAAAATGCTCCTGTATCAGCAGTTGACCCCACTCAAATAATTCTGAAAGTCGGTTTGCAACCCCCTCCTGCCAACAGCTGCTGGATTTGGGGGTGGTCTTATTTTTTGCAACCTTCCACTCATTTCAAAATGTTGTTTGCAAAGAAAGAAAGAAAGATACTGACAGTCCTTGACGTACAACCACAACGGCATCGGAAAAAATGACGTGCAACCAGTCCTTGTACTTAGTAATCGTGGCAGCATCCCCCGTGGATCAGAATTTGAGTGCTTGGCAAGCCAGCATGTGATCATCATTTGCAGCCTTCTCAGCTAGTTTCCGACAAGCCAAGTGGCATCTACTGAAACAATGCCAATATGTCGCCTCTAATAAATCCTTTGAAGTTTTTTGAAGTTTGGCTCAAGAATCGTGATTTCATCAGAGCGATTGCTGGAATCCTGACACCAAGTCAATGAAGGAAGCCAGATTCACTTAACAACCATGTGATTCCCTGAACAACTTCAGTCATTTGTTTAACTGTGGCAAAAAAAGGGCATAAAATCAGGTTGCTAAGCAACCGCTTTGCTTAGCAACGGAAATTCTGGCCCCAATTGCGGTTGCAAGTCAAGGATTACCTGTATGTTTTGCTCCTTTGTGTCTTTTGTTATCTCTCACAAGAAGTGATTCCTCTAGTCTTGTGTGTCTAAGAAACGCTCATCCAATCCCCCTTGTTTTGTTAAGAATGGCATGTGTGTATATATATATATATATCTATATCTTGGTGGCTAGCTAAGAACATCCCAGTAGTTTGTCAGACCAAGCTGGAAGGCTGTCAAACTTGTGTTTTCTCCACCGGCTTCTCTTTGATGGCGGGCTCCACCATTGGGCTGGGGGTGTAATTAAACGGGCTCACCCGAGCAGCTCGGCTTGGGGAGCTGTGCTTGCTGGAAGGGAAATTCCCAAGAGAGCTGACCGACCCTTCGTGAGTGAAGGAGATGGACGCAGTGGTGGCCTTCGCGGGAGCAAAGCCATCTCCTTCGTAGCTGTCGGGTGGGATCTTGACGGCCTTCTGGGTCTCCAGAGTAGGGGAGGTGCTGGAATTAGTCTTTGTGGTGGAGAAGTCTTCAGTCTGCACGACTGCGTCACTCGTCTTTGGCTGGAGGACTCCAGGCGTCTGATCCCTCTCTTCTTCTTCCTGCCAAGCGCTAACCAGGGGCAATGCCGTTGAAGGAAGGGTGCTCTTCAGAATATGGGGTATATCTTCATCACGGATCCGTTTCCAGGTTCCTTTCACCATCGCTGGCTGCTGTGGCTGCGGCTGCGGCTGCGGCGGTGGCGGCTGCTGTGGCTGTGGTGGAGGCGGCTGTTGCTGTGGCTGTGGCTGTGGTTGTAGCCGCTGCCGCTGTTGATTTTCGGTGCCTTTCTCTGCAGGAGGAATAACCGGTAGTTTTGAGACCTCCTCATTCTTCTTTCTCCCGCTTGAGGGTTCAGGGCTGTCCGACAGAGTGGAAATAGGGCTGGCGGCCCTCTTGACGACGTTGATTTGAGGAGAGGACGAGTAACGCTTGAAAGGCTCTGGAGGAACATTGATGGATTTGATGGGGAGTCGGGAGGGGCTTTCTGAGCTTGTCCTGCGGGGCAGCCTTGGGGGCCCCCCTGCAGAGGGATTCTGGCTGGGGAGAGGCCCCCGGGAGATGACGGGGCGTTGACTCGACCTAGTTGGCTTATCTGCTTTGAGATCGTCGCATCTGGAAGAGCAGAGGAAAACGGTTGGCAGGCCAAGGCGGCCTCTCCGCGGCGAGGCACCCTGAGAGAGTGAGGACAAATGCTCGGAAGAGGAGACCTCGGAACGTTGCCTCATGCGAAGAGTGGGCGATTCCTTGATGAATGTCAGCTGCCGTAGGAAGCCCGACTGGTGGGAGTCACTGCTGAGGGATCTGGCTGAGGACATGCGCATCAAATTAAGGTGGTTGGCCTGGAGAATACTTTTCCCATTGACCTTAGGCCTTAGCTCACTGCTGCTGTTTCCTCCTCGTTCCTCCAGCGTAGGCATGGTGTTCCTCACTGGAAGAGTCTTCTTAACGGGCTTCTGCATAAAAGGGATGCGGACAGGTGATTTCTGGGTCTTGTGTTGCTTGGACATGGGGGATTTCTGGACCGATTTGGGGGCTGGGCCAATGGGTGTGGTGCTTCCACTGCTCTTTCCGGCTTCACGTGATGGCGTCTGTCGGTTGGGTTGCTGCGATGGTGATGTGAGCTTCTTCTGGTTGGGTTGGGAGGGTGTGGATGTTCTGGAGGATCCGGACGACGGTGCTCTGTTCATCCTGGCAGGTGGGGTCGCGCTTCTTTTGGGCAACATCAACTCCACCACTTCTGAGATCTTTCCAGGCCGATGGAGACTCCTGGATCTCGGTTGGTTGAGATTCAGAGTTTTCTCGGGAATTTCCTGCTTAGCGGCCCCTCCTGTTTTCTTTGGGGTGGACCTGGAGCTCTGCGCTGGGGATTCCTTGGCTGCATCAGGCATGTAGATCACTGTCCTGCCTCGGAAGACGACGGGTAGGTTGCTCAGTGGCTTCTGCTGCCCTACATTTTTCTCCGTCTTATTCCTGCTGCCGGCACCTCTTGTTTCATTCAGATTCTTGCCATCTTGGAAAGATTTGGGGAGGTTTTTCTTCTCCGTGCCACCGGTGGGACCTTTCCTGCCTTGGATCTTGTCTCTTCTGTCCAAACTCAGCTGTAAAGCAGAGCTTGCCGAAAGGCCAGACATAAAAGACAAAATGGAGTCAGATTCTGAGGACGTCTCCTTGCCAAAGGAAGAAGTAGCTTGGTGCAGCCAAGTAACAATGGAGTTTGCTCCTTCCTGGATGGCTTTCCAATCAACGCTATCCAGATCTGAACCTCTTTCGGAAGCAATTTCATCAGGAAATCCCTCGGGTTTCCATTCCTTGGCCTTGAGACCCTTCTGCTCCTTCTCAGCACTCTTCCTTTTGGCTGAATGGCGTCTCCTCTTGGGCCCACTCAAGCCGATGCCGTTCTGCAGGAGATCATTGTCTGAATTGTAACTGAGGGAACTGGCGGAGCTGTCCGTCCCTTTGGACACAGCTGCTCTCGTCCCCTGCCGACGGTTCATGGTTGGTTGGCGGTTAACTTTGATCTTGGACATCTGCATCCTTTCTCCATTTGCATAGAGTTCGAGATCGCTCAGGGAACTTAGGGAGGAGCTGAGAGAGTAACAAGGTGGAGTCTCATCTGCAATCAGGTTGCTCCGGAGATGGGGCGCCATCTTGTTTTTAGCATGAAGCTGCTGACTGGAACTTAGCTCAGGTTCTTTCTTAGCCCAGCATTCTTTCTTTTGAACTTTGCTGGCCAGGTTCAGTTTTCTCTTGGGTGAATTCTTCACGTCTAACTCCATTAGGTCATCAGAGTCATTCTCATAGAAGCAGTAGACAGCCTCTTCGGTTGGTGTGGTGTGGCAGAAGGATGGGAAGGCTCCGTCGCTGTCGTGGCTGCTGTTCTCCCGAGGTTCCTCCTTCTTCTTGGAATGGTTGCCTTCAGAACTTGCCCTTGAACTACCTTGCCTCAAGAAAGTCAATTCTAGGTTTCTGAGGGGAATGTTTCCTCTCCTGGATTCAGCCGATTGGGCCCGCGTTGCACGGAGCGGGCTGGTGTGATTCGATCCAGTTTTGTGCTTAGAAGAGGAGGCCATTTTGGTTGGTGTGGAATGGCTGGAGGTGATTCTTCCAATCCGGGAGCTGCTTTGTTCAAGCTGGCGGATCTCCCTCTTGAGTCCCCCCATCGGAGCCCCCGTTACTTCCTTTCTTTTTCCAGAGCAATGCCGTGAATCTCCCTCGTCTTTCATAGGGTATTGAAGGGTCTCATCGCTCAACGAAGCAGCACTGGAGAAGTTGACGGGGGTGCCTTCTGCTGAGTCAGTGAAGGAATCCTCATTGCCCAGATAGTCCTTGTTGGGTCTGGTGACCGTGGCCCATCTGTGTTTGGGGATACCCAAGTGGGAATTGGCAGGAACTAACATGTAGACTGGAACATGCATTGACTTCTTTGACTGAGGGTTTAGGACTTGGCCTGGAAGGCCCGAGACAAGGGATGTCCTGATCTTCCGGAAACGGGGTGGCATGGCTGAATTGATGCACTCCCTCAGGATTTCAATATCGTCATCTGACATCAACTCAAGGCACTCTAGTTTCCTTTGGCCCTCAATGGCCCTTTCGTCATCTCTCTTTTCATGCGTCATGAAGTTCAACCCACTCCTTTCTGGGAACGGTGGGATAAGTTTCAACTCAACATCCTTCTGGACATAGTGCTCGTGGAGGGGTAATGCGCTCAAGCTGGAGGCACATGAAAAGTTCTCATTGGGTTTCTCCACCGTGAAGTAGACCATGGAGTCGAGGTCTTGGGGCATCTGGAAACGCTCCTTAAAATCCGTGATGTCCATAAATTTCTTGACGTTGTTCTCCCACTGAATGTTGAACTGGCTGGCCTCCTTCTCTGGCTGGCTGTTGAGTTCAAACAGAGGTGTTTTGCTACGGCTTGGAGGCATGGTTTGACCTGGGCTATCTGGGAGCTCACTTGGACTGACCGTACCACTAACCATCTCACTGCAGGGTTCACTCTGGATAGAGCTGGCAATGGACGGGCTCTCAAAACTGCCCAGAGAACTGACTGAACTGCAGCGACTCATCACCAAAGGAGTCTCCTGGATGTAGTTTTCAGATGAGCTGGAAGGGGTCAAATCCTCATGGCGAGAAGGTGACGCCCCTCTAAGAAACATTTTCTCTTTTTTAGGGAAGGGGATAGCAATGGGTTGTGAGGATGAGTTGAGGGGTTCCACCCCCTGCTTTGCCTTCTTTTCTTGGTTGTCCTTCTGAGCTTCTTCCACTTCTTCTACCTCAATGATCTCTAGAGAGGAATCGGTGTCCATCTCATTCTCACTGTGGCTCTGTCCGTCTAGGACATTATCGGCGGAGGAAATAGAAGACAGGGAACTGCATCGGGAGAAGCAAATTGGCGTATCTTCCATCGCGTATTTCTGCAGCCGTTGTTTCGCTGGTTCTGCTGTAGTCAATTTCTCTGGAACCTTGTTAAGATTATCGGTGGTTTTCATGGATAAGCTGGGATAGTAAGAGCTGGTTCCCAAGACCCCCATAGTCCCAGATTCTGTGCCATTGTTCTCTATGAGGGGCACATGCTGATAGGATGGGGAGAGTTTGATTGTGTGGACTTTGGGATCAGGATCTAACTGTCTGCCTCCCTCTTTCTTCTCACATTCAGACTCCTTCTCAGCAACATCAGGGTCAGGTGGAAGCCTTGTTATCTTGGCTTTTTCAAGTAGTTTGTCTCTTTCTGGTTTCTCCACCACCACATTGGATTCTTGCGGTTTCTTCTCAGGCAGTTCCATCTTTTCTGGCCTATTCATCAAGATGTTCTTCAAATCAAGACGGCTGGGCCGTTTCTGATACCGGTGTAGTTCATCTTTAAAGTCCAAGAAGGTTGTCCGAGTACATGGTCTCATGTGTTCCTTTGGGCAGTAGCCATCACTGGTGCTTCCGCTGTTGAGGCTATCATTGGACAAGCTTGTATAAGCGTTTTTCAGCCGCAGGAGGGTGTGAGCCCGGCTCAGACCTTCACGCTTCATAATCCCACTGGTGTCCGAGAGGCGGCATGGAGAGCATGACTGGGCACGGGCTTCATGGGCTTCATCCAGACCATACTGCCATTCAAGGCAGTGGTCTTCAGAGCTGAGGCTGAAGCTGTCATCAGAGGAGGTATGGAGAGTGGTTATGTCTTCCACTAATTTATCTATCTTGGCCACAGTCGTAGTGATCTTGTTGGCTAACTTCTCAGCCACCGCGGAGACGTCATCGCCCTGGGATGCAAGCAACGGGGAGACCTTCTTGGCTTCCGTGGACTTCCCACTTTGATCTTTCTCTGGTTCTGGGCCTCTTCTTTGGGAAACTGTTCTTGGCAAAGTTTGACTTTGGAGGAAGGATGAATTTAAGAACATGGAGAGAACCGACGCATTTCCTGTCTCTGTACTGCTAGAGACATTGGGCACTTCGTCATCGTCAAAGCAGCCTGAATCAGAAGCGTAGTCCTTGGCCAAACTATCCATGTGCCGCATTGGTTTCTTGGTCACGCTCTGCTTCTTCATCGTCTGCTTCTCCATGGTGTCAAAGGTCTCGGCCAAATGCTGGGCATCCAGTTCAGCCTCCAGAGCCTTCTGTTTCCGCATATAGAGGGAGGGCATACAAGAACCCGGCGAGACAACCATGGCGTCTTTATACTTGAGCGGCCGGTTGGCAAGGAGGTTGCGGAGGGCTGCGGTGCTGCCCATGGCAATCATCTTGTGTTTGGAGTGGACGAGATTCCGGAGCATGCTGACTGCCCCCAGGTCCCACAGTAGCTCTTGGTCTTTGGGGCTCCGCGCAGAGAGGTTCCACAGGGTGCCACAGGCGTTGCTGACGATGGTCAGGCTGTGTGACTTGAGGTGCTGAAGGAGAGTTTGAAGGCAGTTGTGATCCCTCAGAATTTGCCTAGGAAAGAACAGATTGAGGGTAAGATAAAATCAGCCCAGATCCCGGAGGAAAATGCAAAGGTCAAGCTGGAAAAGGAAAGGTCAAGGAATGTCTAAGATCCAATCTGGGACAGTCACCGGAACCAGAGGTTTTGTTTTCCGAGCTTTCGGATTCCTATTATTTACAGATTAACAGAGCTGGAAAGGACCTTGTAGGTCATCTAGTCCAGTGGTCGCCAACCGGTGGGCTAGGGACCACTGGTGATCCATGAGAAAATTTTGGTGGCTCCCAGAGAAATGTCCCCCCCAAAGCACTCTCCCCAAAGCAATTAATCCAGGCTGCACGGGAACACAAGGCTGCGCTGCCCACACGTCCCACCCACCTGCTGGACCCCACCCTTTGGCCAAGTGCAAACCTTACCTTGAGTAGAGCCACGCGAGCTGGAACTGGAAGGTAAGACCAATAGCGGGGGAGGGAAATCTGCCCCAGGGTGGCTTGCTGACTTTGGTGGGAAAGTCGGTCCCATATTCCAGAGCTGCAGTAGTCACAGGACTGGCCCTTTGGTCATCCCGGAGCAGCTCCTCCAGTCCATGGCAGGCTGGTGCACCCAGGTGGAGGAGCAGTGGGGTGACCAAAGGGCTAGTCCTGTGACTAATGCCGCTCTGGAATATGGGACCGACTTTCCCACCAACATCAACAAGCCACAGTCAGTCAAAATTCATATTAGTGGTCCGCGGGATTTAAAATTATGAGTTTGGTGGTCCCTGCAGTCCAAAAGGTTGGCGACCCCTGATGTAGTCCAACTCCCCACACACACCCAAGCAGGAGACCCTACACCATTTCTGACAGAAGGCAGTCCAGTCTCTTCTTGAAAGCTTCCAGTGATGAAGCTCCCACAACTTCCGAAGGCAACTTCTGTTCCCTTGGTTGATTGCTCTCACTGTCAGAAACTCAGATTGGATCCAGCAACGTTATCCTGGGGTACCTATATTCGCTTTCATTTATAAGGTATAACTTCATTATAACTTAAGGAGGGGAGGAATTTGAGAGCTATTTTAGGAGCTCTGAATTCATAGTCCACTTCTGAATACCAATTGCTGGGAACAACAACCCAAGTGGGCTTTTAGCTTTCGTATCCAAGGTGTGGCTATCCAAAAGGAAAAATGGACCACATCGGTGGGAAAAAATATACAGGTAATCCTCGATGTAGAACCATTTGTTTAGAAACCAAAATTACAACGGCAGTGTTTCCCCCCAAGTCAAGGGATCCAAATTTCGGGTGCTTGACCACTGGCCTGTATTTGTAACGGATGCAGCATCTTGGGGTCGTGTGGTTGCTTTTTGGGGACCTTCCCAGGAAGCACCAGCAAGCAAAGTCAGTAAGGGAAGTGGTTTCACTTAACAATCACAGCAAAAAAAAGGAAGTAAAATGGAATGTGATTCACTTAATGACTGTATTACTTAGTGATGGAATTATGGTCATAAGTCGAGGACTAGCTATATAAGGATTTTCAGGAGATTAAATGGAAATAAAGCCCCTCATTTTCTGGCAGACTAGAGGACTTTGGAGAGGGGTCAGAGATGTGGTTGGGGACTGCAAGGGCTGGTTGTGACTCTACAGATGTGCAGTGGGATCTCATTACTCATCTTTAATTGGTTCCGGGAGGCATGATAAGTACCAAAAATGATAAATACCAAACAATTCCCCCCCCCCCATAAGGAATACATTCAGGTAGTCCTTGACCACAATTGAGCCCAAAATTTCTGTTAAGTGAGACATTTGTTAAGTGAGTTTTGCCCCATTTTATATCTGTTCTGGCCACAGTTGTTAAGTGAATCACTGCAGTTGATAAATAAGTTGTCGAGACTCCAACAAATCCACCCCCATCTTTTTAGTTGACATAAGTAATTTCATGCCCCTGTTGGAATCTGATTCTGAGGGAGAGGTGGAACAGCTGACAGGGAATGGGAGTGTGGCTTCAGTGGCTTTGGAGGACACTGGGGTAGGGCACAGGCTAGCTGGGCGTTCAGAGGAAGACCCAGGCCCACTCCCTCTTCATCCTAGAGCATGCAGGGAGGAACGGATAAGGGAGCAATGTGAGTTGTGTGGCTTATGGGGGAGGAAAGGGCCCTGATCATTGTCTGCAGCTGGAAAGACTATTAAAAAGGGAAAACTGTACGTGGCAAAGTTGCTTGAAGCAAAGCGTGAAATTATTCTGGTTTGTCAAGTCCTATCTGAATTCTGACATCCTCCCAAGTGTGTGTGTTTCGTTATCTTTTGACGTCTTCAATCCCTTATCCTGCCCTGTCGCGTTAATGGCGGCAGTGTGGTTTTTGTTGGTTTTTCTTTATAATTTATATGTACTTTGAGTTTGGACAGAATTTCTTCCTTTTAAAAAACTGTTCTTGAGAGAGTTTTTTCTCCAGCTGATGATAACTGGACAATGGGGGCCAAGTTGGAGATATTAAAGGGACTTTTATCTATTTTTGTGATTTTGTTACTTTTGTGCCACGCCCTGGCTCATCACAGGTAACCTGATTGTTAAGTGAATCTGGCTTCCCCATTGACTGCCTGTCAGAAGTTCTCAAATGGGGATCCCATGACCCTGGGACGCTGCAACGGTCATAACTACCTGAACATCTGAATTTCGGTCACATGCAAAGGTCATAACTGTGAAATAAGTCACTTTTTTCAGTGTCGTCCTAATTTTGAGTGGTCACTAAAGTCGAGGACTACCTGTAATGCAGTGAGTCACAAAGTAGCCATCATCGACTACTTTATTTCTAGCTTGTTCATTGAGTACCAAACAAACAATGAGTACCAGGACAATATTGTCACAACAAAGGGCACTGAGTACCAAATTCGATGAGCTTCAAAGCAGTAGAATACCAAGGTACCATTGTACCGATGGGGGAAGGAAAATGTTTCTGGCTGCAAAGGAGGAAAAGGGAGATTACTAACCGGTAATCTTCCCTGGTGGCAATCAGGCTGGAGACATTCCTTAGGATCCCACCTCCACTTTCAATGATGGCAAGGGAGTTACTCTGGCACTTGTAGGTGAGTGTGCTCACTAGGAAGCCGAGCGCTCCTTCCACCATGCAGATGGCGGTTTTATTCTCAGTGCTGTGAGCTGAGAGGTTCCACAAGGCACTGAGGACGCTCTTCAGGGTGGACTCCTACGTAGGAACAACAACAACAACAAAAAGACGAGAAAAGGTTCTCTTTCAAGAAAATTGGAAGGTTATTGACTGCCAACACTGAGCAATGTAGTAGCCTGCTTGGAGCGAAACAGGTTGAGATCAGGGGTGGGTTTCTACCGGTTCTGTCCACCTCTGTAGAACCGGTAGCTCTGAAGAGCAGCAGACATAGAACTGGTTCTATGTCTGCTGATGTTTTTGCCCACCCACCCACCCGGGCTCTTACCTGACCTTTATTTCCTGCTTTTTCAACTTCAGCTGCAGTGCGAGGCACAGCTGCAGTGAAAAAATCAGGAAAAAAGTGCTTTTTCAAAAAAAAAGCTGGAAAAAAGTGCTTCTCTGCATGCAGCGTGCTGATGAGGATTTACAAGCGCGCCTGGCAGCGTGCAGGGAAGCACATCGTCAATCACCGAACCTCTTAAATCACCGAACCGGTACTTAACCCACTCCTGGTTGAGATCCAGACATCCAGACACCACTACTGCTAAAGCAGGGGTGTCAAATTCAAGGCATGCAGGCCGGATCCAGCCCTTGGGGTGCTTAGATCTGGCCCATAGGGCTGCCCTGGAAACAGTGAAGAACTGGCCCACGGTGCCTCGACCAGCAAAAATGGAGCTTGGGAGGGCCGTGTGTGATCCTCTCGAGCTCCATTTTCGCTGGCAAAGTGCTCGGACCACCACAGGCGCCCCTGACATGAGTGACATCAAAAGACAGAAACTTACTTTCTGGACTAGATGGCTTGCAGGGACCTTCCAGTCCTGGATTGCTGTGCTGTTTCAAAACATCCTCTGAAGCTGTGTCTAGTGCCAAGGTTTGAGGTCCTTCCTCTCCTTTACCTCTCCCTCATTCCTTCCCTCCCTCCCTCCCTTTCTTTCTTTTTTCTTTTTTTATTTCTCTTTCTTTCTTCCCTCCCTTTCTTTCTCCTATCCTTCCCTCTTTCTTTCTCTTTCTTTCTTTCGCAGCACTCCCTCCCCCCCCATCGCATTTTTGACCTAGTGGGCCCCAGGGAAGCCCCGAAAAAATAAGCCTTTTGAAGTGAGGGTGGGGATCAGCTGTGCCGCGCAATTTGGATGAGCTAGAAAGCAAGAAATCGTTTTTTACTACTGGTTCGGCCGAAGTGGACCGAACTGGTAGAATACCACCACTGTGAACGTGCCGTATAATAAATCAATATCAATCAATCCTAATGTTGGCAACAAAACTTAATTAAGATTGTTGTTTCGGAAGCCTACTCATTCCCAGACTCAGATTCGACTCTTTGTGGGTTGAGGTCCACGTAGGCTTGTGACCCCTGCTGGTAGGAGCTACGGCCAGGAGGGTTGTTGTCCATTTTGTGCGAACATCAGTGGTGACCATACTCAGTGCTGAGCTACTGAGGGTTTGCAAGATTCGGGAGAGCCCCTAGCTAAGATTCTCTGCAGTTCGGAGAACCCCCAAATCCCACTCCTGGCTGGCCCCACCCATCCCAGCCCTCCCCCTCCCAGGAGTCCCCACACGGCCTGTTTTGGATGCAGATAAGTGCAGGGTGTGAACAGAGGCTGGGCAGGGTGAAAAATGGGCCTACCAGAAGTTCGGGAAGGCTGGAAATGGACCCATTTCCACCTTCCATAGAGCCTCCGGAGCCCGGGGAGCCCGTTTTCATCCTCCTGGAGGCGCAAGGAAAGCCTCTGGAGCACGGGGAAGGCAAAAACGCTCCCCGCTGCCGTGGTACAGGAGGCTGACTAGGCCACATCCACCATGGCCACACCCATTCAGCAACCAGGCAGAGAACCCGTTGCTCAGATTTTTGAAGCCCACCCCTGACCATATTTTAGCAAAGTTGGCTGTCGATTCCACCTCTCCCGTCTTACCTTGCTGGCCCGTAAGGCGCACTGCATCAGCGCAGAGACGCTGCCGACTTCTCGTAAGACTTTCTTGCTGTTCATATCGGCTCGCCACGAGAGGTTGCGTAGGATGCTGGATACCACCTGAGAAAGAGGTGGGCAATTAATTTTCCTAAGGGGCCACAAGAAAAACTAGGACTGTTGTGGAAGACCAAACTAATAAGGCTGCGAAGGTGTGTAGATACACATGCACACAAATATAGCAATAGCACTCAGCCTATTGCCCCCAACAATTTGGGTCCTCATTTTACCCACCTCGGAAGGGTAGAAGGCTGAGTCAACCTTGAGCCTCGTGGGATTTGAACTGGCAAATTGTAGGCAGCTGGCTGCAGAAGTAGCTTGTAGTACTGCACTCCAACCACTGCACTACAGAGGCTCCTTATGTCCCAAAGATGCTTTTTCAAGAGGTAACTGGGCTTTCTTTGCTTTTCCTTGAAGGTGTTTTACTTCTCATTCAAGAAAAACAAAAGAAAGTCCAGTTGTCTCTCGAAAAAGCACCTTTGGAACAGCCATGACCTGGAAGTCTGAGAATCTCCATAGACATACACGCAAATAGGTAAATAAAAAAAATAAAAATAGCAGTCGCCTTCAAAATAAAAGCAATCCTCGCAGACCAAATAGGGACCGCCGAAGGGCTAGATGTTTTATAGTCTAGGGGAGGAGCATAAAATGGCTGCATGGCTGGCTGGGGAATGCTGGGAGTTGAAGTCCACACATCTTAAAGTTGCCAAGGTTGAAAAGCACTGGATTAGAAGCAGATTCTGCACTAATTCCTCATTTACAGCACAACTAACTTCATGGTTGTGTGAAAAGGGAAGAGTTACAAGCGTTCCTAAATAAAAGGTGAGCTTTAAATCTAATAAATAACATTCATTTTTTGGAGCATGGAGTGTTTTAGAGTCAAAGCTACCTTTCAGCAGCTATTTTTTGGGCCAGATTGAGAATCTGAGGTCATATAAAGCAGCTTTGAAGTGCCTTCTTTACATGCTCAGAGAAGAAGACATCTGAACCTGGACCCGCTGGAGAAGGGCAGGTAGGGTGCAAATTCAGTGACCATCCGGTCTTCTTTTAACCCATCATACCTGGTGCAGTTCCTCACTGTCAGATGCTAATTGGTCTACGATAGCTTGCATACACCTTGGCCGCGAACATAATGTTGCCTAAACAGCAAGAAAGGAGTAAAAATAGGAGTTAGGGATGGATGTTTTTTTTAGGATTGATTTTATTTTCCTCTAAAGGATCGTAAGTCCAGTGCCATTGTAACTTTAAAAGGGATGCTGTGGCTCATTGGCTAAAACGCTGAGCTTGTCGATCAGTAAGGTCGGCAGTTTGGCGGTTCGAATCCCTAGTACCGCGTAACGGAGTGAGCTCCAGTTGTTGTCTCAGCTTCTGCCAACCTAGCTGTTTGAAAGCATGTAAAAATGCAAGTAGAAAACTTTGGTGGGAAAGTCACAGCGTTCCGTGCACCTTCGGCGTTTAGTCATGCCACCAGCCACATGATCACAGAGACGTCTTCGCCTTCCGGACAGCGCTGACTCTTCGGCTTAGAAACAGAGATGAGCACTAGCCCCAGAGCCGGAAACAACGGGCACATATGTGCGAGAGGAGCCTTACCTTTTATTGTAACTTTGAACAGGCACACAACATTGAATTTTAAGTTGGTTTTAAGTTGAGGACTACCTGTAACAAAATACCTTGACAGTTTGTTTCGTGTAATCAAAGTTACAACGGCACCGAAAAATGTGACTTATGACAATGTTTCAAAGTTACGGCCTTCGCAGCATCCCATGGTCAAGTGATCAGAATTCAGATGCTTGGCAACTGGTTCATACTTCATGACCGTTGCTGTGTCCCAAAGTCACGCGATCCACTTTGCCGACCTTCTGACAAGCAAAGGCAACGGGAAAGACAGATTCCCTTAACAATCATATTACTAACTTGATAAATGCAATGATTCATTTAACAACGGTGGCAAGAAAAGTCGTAAAAGGGGGCAAACTCACTTAGTGCATGTTTCACTAAGCAGCATAAACTTTGGGCTCAATTGTGGTCATAACTTGAGGACCACCTATAACAGGAGTTCTCCCTGAAGCTGGCTACTGCACTTTAAAAAATGGGGTAAAAATCTATTTAGGTAAAT